TTCTCAAGGAAAACACCAACAGTTTAACTTGACTTGGGGACGGTTGCAACAGTAACCATAGCACAACACAGCAGAGCATGAGCGAACACAGGGATCCAGGATACCTGATACTTGAATACATACCAAATTCTTCTCGAGAGTCTGCAACCCATCCGAAAACCATTATCCGCCAACCTTACACTGGTCGGCGTAAACCCATTCACTTCATCCATTCCATCCAACACAATTGGTCTCCGAGAAGCTTTTATGCATGTACACAATTTCCCAAGTCCTATTCAGAAAGTTAGCTGAATCAAGGTTTCAGCATGCTTCAGCAGTTTAGGATCTCTTCGCTATCGCGGAAACGTGGTTGTGCTGTGAGATAACAGGTGCCGAAATCGTGCTAACAGGTCAGTCCGTCGTCCGGAATGATTGAGCCAGCAAAGGTGGTGGGGCAGCCTACTACTTTCGTAACAACCTGCAGTGCGAATCTATACACGATTCGGAAAACGATGTATCTGACTCCATTTGGTACAGCTTCTGGTTGAGCGGGAACGATCTTGACCTAGTGGCTGTCGTTTATCGCACACCACCGTCTACGCCTGAGATGGACTTCAAGTTGGTGGCTGCGTTGAGGCAGGTGATGAACAGGAAGCACAGTCTCGTCCTAGTCGCCGGCGATGTCAACTTACATGCTCTAGAATCCCAGAATACAACAAGAGAGTAATTCAAAGCATACTTGGAAGACCTGATCTCAGATTTGCTGCTTTATGGCCAAGTCACCTCGTCCACCAGGCTCAGACGAAATAACTGGCCATCCATATTGGACTGAATATTCATAAATGAAGAATTAATGATCGAAAGAATGATAATCGATACTCCTCTAGGCCGCAGTGATCATGCGACTGCACTTTATGTGCATTTGCTATGCTGTATTTGCCGAAGACCGAACACAAACAACGCGAAACTTAACCAGTCTCGATACGTTAACCCGACGCGTTGACGCGACCAACTGAAGTTTCATAACGGATGATGCAGCGGACATTGCCTGGAAATGTTTCCACAATAGGTTTGAATCTTGGTTAGTGGAGCATCTGAGACCATTTATAGGGAGTAGAACACGTAAATGCATGGTGATGTGCAACGCGGCTTGGTGTACCTACAAAACCGATCCGAGTCCGAGTACTTAGAAGCCCTATCTTGTCCACGGTAACCATTGTACACAATTAGTGCGCTAGTTCAAATTAGCTTATCAACGTGCTTTAGCTGAGCGATTAACTGCAAATCCTAAAGTTTTGTAGAAGCACATGAACAACCACCACAAGGTGAAAAGTGGATTTCCTCCTCTTCAAACTTCGGATGGTCTAACTCGGACTACTAAAGAAGCTTCGAACCTTTTGCAACAACAATACGCACCAACGTTTCATTGCATCCCCTGATCTTCTGAATGTTTGGAAATTACGGTGCCCACACCGGGAGGAACTCATATAAATTTTACGGTAGACATCGTGATGTGAAAGCTGCTATCCATGCGTCTGCACGCCTGTCCAGGAATTGACGACATTCGCCCAAATACGCTTGCTGTGGCGGCAACTATTTTCACTAGACATTTGGCGCGGCTGTTTTCAACACTGCCTTGACGAGCGTCACTTTCCTGCAATGTGGTAACACGGAATAATAACTTCCATTCACAAAGGGGGTAGTCGTTCCGACCTTGCTAATTATCGACCAGTGACTCTACTGCCAGTTCTCTCAAAAGCTATGGAGGTTATCATTGCGGACGCACTCATGTCTTATCGGGACGACTTTAATCACATTGCTCAGGAGCAACACGGTTTCCGCCAGAATCGGTCGTGCACAACGAATCTATTGTTAGCACGAGACAGCTGGACCAAAACTGTGGATGCGGGCGAAAGGGTTGATGTGGCATACCTTGATTTCTCTTAGGCATTCGACCGGTTGAGTCATCGTATTCTTCTCGCCAGTGTTCATGTATGTGGCATTCAGGACCCTCTCCTCAGGTGGACCTGCAATTTTCTTTTGCAAGGGCGTCTGGTTTTGAGAAAACGTGAATCCATGTCAGACCCAAAGCACATCGCATGCGGAGTGCCACAGGGTTTGGTATTGTGGACCGTCTAGTTTTGGTCGTCACAAATGATCTAGTGAGTTAAATTGCGTCAAACTGTTTACCGTACGCTGATGACATCAAAGTTTGGCGAGTGCTCAAAGCTGTAGAAGACCGTATCTCCTTTCAAAACGAGCTTGACAAGATTTATGGATGGTCGGTCCAAAATCGTCTTCTATACAATGTGGATAAATGTCGAGTGCTGCATATAAGACACCGAATAGTTCACACGCATAAGCTGGGAGACCAGCATCAGCAACACAATTCGCTGGAAAATAATCTTGGTGTTAGGTCCAGGAAGATCTCGGCTCCTCGGAACTGTCCAAAAAGGCATGGAAGAAGGGAATCCAAATCGTGGGATTGTTACGGAGAGCTTTCGGGCAATTCGAACCGTCTATTTTCCGCCAAATACTTCCCGCTTATATACGCCCTCATGTTGAATAGGCAATGCAAGCATGGCACGCATGGCTGAAAGCGGGATCTTACGCCTTGGAGCTTCCACAACTTTGACGAACCAAAATATCATGGGGTTGCGCCAGTTGTCATGCGAACGGCGCCCCAGACTGCTTGGCATTTTCAGCGGACCTTATCGGGGTTTTCATGTTGACCTAAGCATGGCTTACCAAATATTAAACGACACTAGTCACCCGTGCCATCACCTGTTGCAGCTGAGTCACAGCAAGGAACTGAGAAGTCATCATGTCAAATTGGCAACAAGATACTGTCGGTTGGAGTGTTGAAGTAACTTTTCTCGCTGCGTCTGCCATTCGTGGAATCCCCTATCAGAAGCTGTTATTTCAACCCCCAAGATAGCCGTGTTCAAAGCACGTGTCGACAGTGCACTGGCCACAATACACCATGTCACCTAGTCCAAGCAACCCATACTAACATCAGTAAAACCAAAGCCAACCTACTCACCTTCATTTTTGTCCGGAAACCACAGCCGATAATCTTGTTTTATGCATAAAGCGAACGGGAAAGCTGTAATCGGCAAGTTCGTATTTTGCAGTTGTTTCACTATTTCCTATTGCCACTTTTGCTGTTATGTTGTTCACCCCTAAGCGATCATCCGGCGGGACATGTCAAGCTTCTGCTTTTTGTCCACATTGTACTATTGACCATTGGCCGGGCGCGCAAACGACACAAGAGTTGGGAGTCGGGGTGCCAGCAAGTGCAACATGTGGCGCAGCCATCGGAGCCTGATGCGTGAAATAATTGGGCTGAGCGATTCACTCGCTCTTCCTGCACCAAATACATGACCCACAATACGCTCAATGCTCACGCGGGGTTCCCATTTGACCTGAGCTATGCTGCGATAGCAGCGATGGTCGGAGGTAACAAGCCTCTTTGTGTCTGTCGACTTGATAGACCAGGTTTCGCAACCGTACAGGAGGATGGAGTGAATGGCTGCATTGTAAACTCTGCACCTCAGGGCTGGAGTGATGTCGTGCCGGCACAATAAGTAGTGGAGATTAGATAAAGCACCCCGACCTTTCCCTATGCCATTCGTGAGCTCATCTTCAACCCCATGGGTGCTTTTATAGTTGCCCAGATAAGTACATTTCCGGATGACTTCTAGATGATCACCGCCAAGGGTCAGTGCAAGTGGGCCTCTGCCAATCTTGGCGAAGAAGTTTGCATTTCGAGCGTGCGAAGCGTAGCCTGTGTAGACTGACAGCAAGAACTAAGTTATCTGGTGCTACTTGGCTCATGCGGCGGCTGTCACAGGTAAGCGTAATATCATCAGCATACTGTAAGTCAAGAAGTCGGTAAATGGGAACAGCAACACTCTTTCTAAGTCGTTCCTGGCGAACACTCTTTCTATGCATTTGTTCATGGCGTACTTAAAGAGTGATGGTGACAGAAGGCAACCATGTTTTACATCACTGTAAGTACTGAAGGGCGGTACAAGTTGGCCGTAAACCTTCAATTTACCAGAGCTATGCGCGTGCATCGCTCTGTGGTAGCTCCAAGATTAGACAGCTGAATGAAAAAATGATAATTCCGGTTATTAACGTTGACGTATTCATTAGGTGTTGTTGTTTCAGTATAAAAAGGAGGTATATACAATGAGATATGAAACCTCTGTGGATGGTGGTATCCACGCCCTCGGATTACAAGGCAGAATTGTTATCCTTAAAACTATGGACAGGCTTCCATTCAGCTTGTCTGTTGACTGCATTATTCGTAGTGTATAATGTTTCTAAAGCTTCTCTTGTCTACATCGTACTTCCACGTCTCAGAATCCTTACTTTTGTTCGGAAAAATTGATGACCTGCTTCATACTCTTGTATGGAGACCAATGCATAGGGATGCATATTCAATTAGCTCAGCGAATAACTGATCTAACAAACGAATAACATATGCCCCCCTACATTTGCTTCTATATCAGAACATACCCAGACAAATCAGGGGTTGCCGTTATGTGAAAACGACGCAACCATGTACACGGTTTCAGTTATGATTAAGCCAAAAGAGTTGATAGTGACAGTTTTGACTAATCATTGCTCAGACCTCCATTGTCTAGTCGGGCCCAACTGTATCAAAATATTCGATGGAGATAATCTGAAGCTGTTAAATGGCAGTGCAGATAATGGGACACCGAATTGGAGAGGGAGCTAGGTTTGAAGTAGGTTAAAGCCAAGGAGAGTGCAAAATCCAGAGCTTCACACACAGGTGCATGCGTGCGAGCATTTACTGTCCAACACAAATTACCGATTGGATATCCGGACAGGTGTTACAGATGCTGGGGTTTCTCACATGGGCGCAAGTGCGTCGTTACCGGGATCATTGCAAACACATCTGACATATTAATTAAGCACACTGCCTAGTTGTATATTCCAGCTACTACGTCGTTTAAATGCTTAAAAATTATGGGCGTTAAATAGTTTCACAGATGTTAGATTCAAGTAGTCAAATCGTGAACTTGCAACATTCGTCCGTGCCTGCTTTTCATTTAAAGCTACTCCCAAATTCTGGATCCGGAGTAAAACTTTACGGCCTAAAAGCACGCTGCCGCACGGTTGCATGTTAATATTTTTCTTTTCAAGAAATGACTTGACTGAAACGCATTAAGCATAGATTGTAAGGTGGGTCAATCCATCGCGGGGGCAACAACCATTCCATTTACCTTGCCTGTTACCCGTAACTTTTCTTGATTTTTTTAATCTTTTAGTCCTCGATGCGTCAGGTAAATTACCACCTGGAATTACCGGCGGAGATTTGACATGGGTCGGAAGTTACGAGCTGTGCAATTCCATTCACGTCGAGCAAAATGGATCTGTTGTCAATGGACGCTACTGCAACATCAGGATCCCGGTGTCCATTCGCGATCCAGATATTGTGATAGTAAGAGTTATAATCTTGAAAAATAAGTGCCTTTTTAACTTTATCAATTTCACTACGGTATGTGAGGAAACTAATGCACGAAACTCCACCGCAGGCTTCAGAGCGCTTCAGACATTGGATAGGTAAAATACTACTGATGTGCAAACCAGCAAAATTAAATTATTTCTAGATCTTAGCTATAAACTCACACTTAAGTCAGGAAAGCTATGTATACGCTGGTAGCTTCCCGGTGACTGGTCTGTGCGTTGCGTTGGAATGAATGCGTCACATAAGCCCTGTAGAACATCGTCGTAGATCAGCAATCCCTGCTATCCAAATTGTTGGAATTATGTTATAAGGTAGATTCCCCAGTACTAACAAGCGACCGATGTTATGGAAAGTTAGCAGCTCCACAATACCACATAGTTAAAATGGTGTTGTCTGGGTAGATATTGGAAACAGCTGGTACGCAGAGCGTTGGGAGTTGTCAAGGTCAAAGCACCGTTTTATTCAAAATAAATTTCAAGCACCGATGACCATGTATTGGAATGCTTATCAAGATCGATTAACACACTGAGGACAAAGCAAGGTTTGTGGGGCAGTAGAGGTTAAAAAAGGATCTGTGCTAAGGTCTCCTTATCAACTCATACAAAATCCAACTCGTGTGCCATGTTGCCCACCCTTGCTCTAGAAATCTTTTGCTCACATGCCGACTGCTACTACAAGGGGTCTGGTGCACCATACTTCTTCCTTTCAATTGAGCTAAACACACGGGGCCCGGTGTACTTTATTTAGAGGGTTCTGTGCTTACATTCGACGCTTTGCATATCACCCGGAGTTTCCCGTGTAATTTTAGCTATTTCCCCGGACGTGACGTTTCAGCGATAGACTGCAGTGTGCCAAGCTACCGTACTTACAAGCCCCAGCACCGTAGCCTATCTAGCTAAAACGGGTGTGTGACACCATTTAGGCGATATGAATATAACATAGGTGAACGTACTGGCTTAGGAGCGGGCTTTGGTCATGGAGGCTATGGATGTGCCCATGCCTAGGTCTACACCAAGTATCATGTCCTGGAGGTGAAGTGTAGAAACTCAGCTCGTGCCTTTCAAAATGCTAGTGTAACCCACTGTCAGGAATTGGCGAAATCTTCTACAGACATCGCAAACTGCGGATCTGTGATTAAAAAGGCAGTTCCAGAAGCACTTGTGGAATTAGCTTTTTGGATTTTCTTATATAAACTAACGGATTCGATGTGAATGCTCTCAATCCTTTAGGGATATCCAAGAAGCCCGCCACACGCGTCGTGCGACCAAGTTGGCGGCCACCAAATGGCTTCATTTATCACCAGTCTGTAGTGTACGCGATATGCTACCCAAGAGTATGTTTGGGCCTAGGGGGAATACCTGCGATCTCTTTAATCGAAACATCATTTGTGCATGCCTTCAGCAGATCCGTTGTCTGCGTTCGTTTCATGTGCGTCTGTGGCTAGTAGTGTGAAGACACCTGGTGGTCTAAGTTCGCCAACCCGGCACTCTCGTAAATATTCTTTACCTAATGAACTGTCAAAATTTGCTATCAAAATGTCTAGAGCTCACTGGATATAAAACTATATATGCTAGAACAAAATGGTGTATAATTTGTCTTAATTGAGAAACCGGTGATATAATATTGGACGTGAGATTACAAGTCGTGTCGAGCCTGACCTCAGATCGGTTACCGGAGGGAATTACATTACATGATAAGAAAGAACGTAGTAACTATTCTTGAGGGCATGGATTGCTCCCTCCGTTCTCAGCCGTTCCTGCCTACAAGCTTTAAAAGTGACTACCTACACATCACCATGTATTCTCACTTTGAAACCTTGGCTCCTTATGCTTGGCTCTTATGCTTCGCAATACCCTTTATTCTGTTTTCACACAGCCAATTGGAATCAGCTTTGGTATCTGCCTGCCGTCGGGTTGTGACACACCAGAGCTGCTGAAAATTGCAAGTACAGGTAGGTCTCTATATGCGTATCTAGCTGACTGCATCAGCGTTGCAACTAGCAGGCGTCAAACTAGATGTGGACTACTCATTCTGTCATTCGCACAAAGAAGAACAGAAGACAGATGGATACTTTAAGCTGGCCATGTAAGTAAACCAAGAGGCACTGATCGCCGGGTTGCACATTTATGAGTGCATCATTTCACTAGATGTACACTACTTTACTTTGCAACATACTATAAACCGTGTTTTCTCAATAAAATATGAAAGATAGTTTTTTATGAGTTGAGACAAATATGCTTTGCGTGTCCAAATAGTAGTCTAGCTGGATTTTCATAGACCTAACAATAGAAAACAGACTTTGCAGTTTACGGCAAAATTCAGATTTCACCTTTCAAATCTTTGTTGAAAGATATTTTCATCGCTGCGGTGTTTTACTGAACTAGTAGCTAACGGCTGCTGCCGGTGATTCATTGGTCCCGGAGGTGGAATGGAGGACAACAGTAAGTGGAAAAATGCAGATGACTGCATAATCCAACCGTCTTCCAAATATGGTCAGTGTCATCGTGGAAACGACAGATTGGGGGAATGCATTACAAGGATGGCATCATAAACAAAAGGAAGTGACGACAGTATTACAAACGACTACACTTCGATAGTTTAAGGTGATAGCCTCTCATACTCGTATCGATATTAAACATCAGCAAATATGTTTTAGCTTGCGCAAAACGAAACAAGCCATCACCAGGTGGTTGTCTAATCATTTTGGCCTCCGCTACTATAGGGGATTGCGCGTTTTAGAGTTGCGCTTTGAAAACACAAAATGGGGCCAAGTAATAGTAATTTTCATTTATAGTGTTTTCACCATGACTGTCGCACATGATAACTTTTGAGAATATGAGAACGACTTGCTCTACAATTTACACTTTGAATCATGCTATCCGTCGACAGTAAATTTAATCCCCACAGAAATTCAATGGAGAGCTGTTGTATCTTTTGTGAACCCTGACATTCAGCATTCATTTTGATTCAAGCGCAAGCAAGTTCAAATCAATCTCATCGGAATACCCTAATACTACCAGTCTCATCATCATCATCTGATATGGTGTTTCCATCTAAGAATTCCAGCTGAAGATCGGCATCTATTTTGTGAGTATTTCAGATAATTTTCAAAGGAGAAAAACTACTTTTCCCTTGTTTTAATACATGTGGGAGCAGTCTGAGTCTAGTTAAGTAGTCGTCTTGTCAAAATAAAGGTTTTGCATCTCCAATGGGAAGCATCGTGCGCCGTGGGTTCAAGCACCAATGCTGATGACTTTGCCTATTTAAAGCTTGATAGATAATGATATGGTTGAGAAGAATTATTGGAGTGGATTGCGTGCAGTTTAAAAAAGCTTTCCCACTTTATCGTTTTGAGTCCAACTTCAAATGAAGTCTAGTGTTGGCTACTACTACTACCACTACTATTACTACTACTACTACTACTGCTGCTGCTACTACTACTACTACTACTACTACTACTACTACTACTACTTCGCGGGCACATTAGCAAATGTCTTCCGGTTTTCAGAACGATGCCTTGGCCACACGAAATGTCTTTTGCTATTTACTATGGCTAATCTCGCCTTGTATAATTATAAGTAATTCAAGAAGCCTTAAACGAACTAAGTTAAATTGTTGTATTCTAAATCGAATGAACGGAAGTACAAGTAAATGTAGTCGTTTCCTTAATTGTGCAGAATTTTGTGGTTACCTGCGGCGTTTAGTTGATTTTCCAGTCATATTTCCAAATTGCGTGAAAACTCGCGTGCGCATAGCTGCCACCCGGAATCTTCGAAAGACTAGGCCATGCAATTATCTCTATCCTTTCAGGGTCAAACTTGTATGGGCGCCACAACAAGTGTGCATGGTAATACGAGGTGTTAAGTATCGGGCGATTTCCAAGCCCGAGGTTACTTAGCCTCTCGGAGTGAATTGAAGTAGCACTACTTCGTAGCCTTCTGTATGTCGGTTAGCAAGTGATGAAATATACCGCTGAGTTCCGAGTGCTAGTGCCGTGTTTTCGTTGTGGTACACAAGTCAGTTTGAGCCTGAGATTTGCATTGCACTTGATCCTACTCCTCGACAGCTCTGAAGCAGTATCCAATGCAGGACATTTTTTTACAGCATCAGATAGTTCCGGCCTTATGAACTATGAAAGATGAAGCTTTTGCTTGGATTGGCGGCACAAACGGACCTCTTTAGACTCCGGCTATCAGATGCCATTGTTACTAAAACAATCGTGATCGTACCCAAAAGGAGGAAGCAGTCATGAAGCAGTGACTATACTAAAGATTACCAGCCGAACATGTCCTAATTTTTTCGTTCATAATGTTTTTGACTTCAAATATGGGGGAAATCTACCAGCGCAGCAAGGATAATCGGGTCGCGTTGTCACCTAGCAGCTGTAGCAATGCTAGAATCGCAACAGCTCATGTCGCAGTATACCATTTTCTTACGGTCTGCATGATCCACAATGCTCTACTGCCACCATCATCATCATCATCATTACACGTTAGCTGGAGGTGGAAAACACCTCAGCTATTGTGCCGCAATACAAAAGATAAGAAAAGGAAAACAAACGGTGGCACGCCCGCTGAGTCCCCAGTAACAGATGGACATCGTTCCGGAGAGCTAACAGCTGGCTGCCGTAAAAGAGAGTCATATTATGCCTAAAAAATGAGATCGTGATTGGAGGGGGATGATAAGCAGGAGGGGGATGGACAAAGGAAATCACAACACAAACGCCATTGGGGGCGATAAGGATGAAAAAGCGCAAGAAGGGGTATAAGAAGACGGGAAGGCCTGAGCAGTAGCATCCATACCCCTATCTACCCTGCTCGATGCAGCAGATAGGGCGCAGTTTATTATCCTCTGTGACGGCCAGAAAATCAAGAAATTGTTATAGGAAAGGTTCATTGTATTGCGTGGGCAGAATACTGTCAGGTTGCCCAGGCCTAGACAGGAGAACGATTAGGGTTCTCAACCAAAGCCTTTGGTTCAAAAACCTTACCGCAAGGCAGCGGGTTTTGGCACTGGACTACAGAGCCCGTTTTATGAAATAAGGAGCCACCCCCATTCCAACCCCCAACCTGGGGGACCAGGGGGCTGAGTTTGTCTGGCCTCTAACCATTGACCAATCTGGTATGAGTGGCTCTGAAGGTGCAAAAACGCACCACCCAGCACAGCTCAATGGATTACTGAGGCACGCAAACCATCGCACCACGGTAAGGTCCAGCCTCAATGCGGTGGAATATCTGCTGCCAATCAAACCGGCACTTGTTATAATTCGTTTATGCCGTGACACACATCCACTGAGATTGGATAGATTGCAGAGACTAGTACCACCGAAATAATGTCCAACTTCCATGGAAATAAAATGAATTACCTTGGATGCTTATCTGGCTTTTATTAAGCCTCTCGGCTGGTGATTCCTATGGATCAGCGTGTAGGACAGAGGCCTCTGGTTCTCTAGGTACCGATATTTGTGACGACTGGGTGTGAGAAAATTGCGATAATAGATGCCTACTCACGGAATGCAATCTTTGTCTGGATTGCTTCGATGCAAACACGGTTAGTTTTGATAATACAAAGGTTGTGGTGGGAGAGTTGTTTCTGACGAACATAGCGTAAGCAGCAAACCGATCGAAAGCCTTGACCTGGCGCATTTCTACCGGAATCAAGAACACCAAAACCGAGACCGGATTACGATACTATTCACAAGCAATTAGAAACACAAAATGTGCAGTACGTTAACAATCTGCGCTTCTAGCACAAGTCCGAACACATACTTTCAATTTATCAAAAATAGCCAACTACTGAGGCTTCAATTCACATGTGGAACGAACTAAGTACTGTTCAATACGTCGCCGTTCACATGACAAATGCAGGAAGGTATCAGACCAATAAGAATGGGGGCTATCCTTAGCGATCGGCACTCAATTTTCGCGTTACACACATTGATGGCCTGGTATAAAGAATTTAGGTGTTCATAGGAAGATGAAACAAAACAACTGGACACACGAGCAAAATGTTTGTCATGTATGTGACCTCCGCCCATTGCAATATTACGAGGTCACTTAATGCCTTGCAAGGTAACATGAACCATATTCATTGCCCGTTAATGTAACGACATTCTCCACATCTGCTAGGAAGATACGATTTCTGGGGGCGCAAATCAGCGAAGCACGTGAATAACGTGGGCTCAACCAGCTGCCCAATAATCCAGAAAGAGCTGAGATCAAGGTCAACCCGGCTAGTGCCTAACGCACCGAAATGATATCGATCAACAGACCAGCATTTATTTGAAATCAGGACCCATGCTCGAACGTGCAGTCGGCTAGTGCAGACTGTGCAATGTGATTTCTACACCCGAGTTTGGTCCACCTTCTGTTTTCAGAATAAACGCTGATTTTTCGCGTACTCGCCCTGCTCATGCTTCATTGCTGAGGATTGGTCTACTGTCTAGTTTAGCGGTGTCAGACACAATAGAGTTAGCGACAGGAACTCACGCAACGTTTCAATAACTGCAACCCAGCACCAACAGCAAACTCAGTTTGAAGAGGCCCATATGCGAATAATGGAAAATTTAGCGCGGCAATTCAGTGTGTCATCAATTCCTGTCCGGGAAGATACTGCAGCCGAAAACCTCGCAACTAGCACCATGGAGTTCTACTGTGAACCTGATGTTTGGTTGATCTTTGAATTATGGTTCAAACGATATGAGGATACTGTCAACATCGAACTGAAGCACAAAGAGGATGCATGGCGAGTCCAGCTGTTGCTAAGGAAGTTTGGTACAACTGAATGCACACGATATTCAAATTTTACCTTGCCAAAGAACATCAAGAAGCTCGCTTTTGAAGAAACCGTACGCCAGCTATCGGAAATTTTCGAAGGTTGATGATTTCGTCACATATGTTGCTAGACTCAATTTCGCTTGCGAACTGTTCAAACTGTCTACTATGACAGAAGATCAGTTCAAGTGTCTGATTTTCATCTGCCGTCTCCAGGTACAGTGATATCAGGATCAGGTTAGTGAGCAGAATTGAACTGTCCTCAGATATTACTATAAAGCAGATAACGCATGAGTGTCAGCGTTTAGTAAC